TTTTTTTGGTGGTACCAGGGATTGAACCCAGAGGCAGTTAACTTTTGAGCCACCTCCTCAGCCCTTTTTATTTTTTATTTTGAGACAGGGTCCCTAGGTTGCCTAGTGCTTCACTAAGTTGCTGAGATTGGCTTTGAACCTGTGTAAGACTCCATTTTTTTAACCACTAACCCATGTAGTTTGGATGTGCACCAAAACTGGTGAACCAGCACTCAACTATGCTGCCTCCCCCTCGTGACAGTAGAGAATCTCCAGCACCCCACCCCCACTTCTTAGCAACCAATGGACGTGGAAGATCAGATAGAGAATGAAGGAAAGGAGGGAGACAGAAGGAAGGAACTTGCCCCCAGTTAGTCTCCATTCTAGTTCGGGGGTAGGGGGGGCGGTCAGCTCTGCTCTTCTGGTTTTGGGGCCGGCAGCTTCCCCAGCTGCTCAGGGGCCCCCTCTGTAGCCAGTGATGCCTGCCCAGGAAAAGCAGACTCAGCAGCCTGTACCAGCAACAGCAACGAGGTGACATTGGCTGTATCCAGGACTCAGACCTGAGTGCTGTTCCCTACCCAGATCAGGACACTGCTGCTCAGGGTCAGCTCCCAGTGGGCAGGCTGCAGGGGAAGAGTCGAGAAACAGAGAGCAGACCTCTAACTCCAAACGGGCCACAGGAGGTTAGAATAATGAAGAAGGTTCCACGGTGCAGGAAGTGGCCTGAGGATGGGGCTTGCTGAGTCTCCCAGGGGATGTCCACTGCTGGTTCTCCCCAGCAAAACAAGGGGCCACCCTGGGTCTCAGCCTCCTCTTCCATTATTATTGGAAGCCTATTAATACTGTCATCTGTGATTTATTGAAAGCTTTTTGTGCATCAGACACTGTCCCGAGTCAATCAGTCAATCTTCCTTACAAATATCTATGAAGTCATCTTGATCTCGTTTGACAGATGAAGAGGGTGAGCCTTAAGCAGGCTAAGCCAGTGGGCCACCTTCAGGTAGCCAGAGAGGCTGAGGTCTGATCCCAGGTCTGATCTGAGATCAAAGCTTGTCCTAATCACTACTCATTGCTTCACCAATGTCCCTCCCACTCTGGCTTTTAAGATTATTTGCCCCAAACAGCAGGTGTTCATGGTTCAAGGGGAGGAGGGACCATTGTGTCTCCCTAGCCCCACATCCTCAGCCCTGGTGAGGAAATGCCAGTTCATCTGGCAGCAACTCGGCAGAGACCTAACATGTGAGTGCACAGGGGCCCCAGAGCTATCTGACCAATAGATCAACTCTCAGCCTGACCAAGCATGGCTCAGAAAAGCAGATTCCTGTGCTGTCATCCACTGCCCAAGTGTCTAGACTGAAGAGACCCTCTGTACGATGGGTGGCAAGTGCTACAGGGCTTCCTGGAAGACCTAGACCCCTAAGCTGGTCCCCACTCTAACCTCCCCTCCTATCATCTGTTCCTCACTTATTCCTACTTCTATGTCTTCTTCAAACAGGCCACTCTCATTCCCACCACACCACAGGGCCTTTGCACTGTCTGTGACCCCTGCTTAAAAAAGGTTTATTCTTTCGGCCTAGAAACAGCTTTCGCCAGATCTTCATAAGCCTTCCTCCTCCTCCTTGTCACTTATATCTCAGATCATGGTCCCCTTCTCAGGGAGGCCTTTCCTGACTGTCCATCTAAATTGGCACCCTGAATCCTTTCCTGCCCATTACCTCTCCCTGCTTAGCTTCCTTCGTGGTGTTTAACACCATGTGAGACAATCTTACTCATTATTTGCTGATGTGCTAAGAAAGTGCCTTGCAAATGGTAGGTTCTCCGTGTGCATGGGTGTGTGTGTGCGCGCATGTGTGTATGTGTGTGTGTGCGCGTGTGCATGTGTGTGTGTGCGCATG